GATTTTCTTGAAACACATTTCACTTTCTTCTCCTTAAGCGTCTCCCATGTCGCTCTGTCAATAACATTGCAAGTGGAGCCAGAGTCGACTAGAACTCCTTCCAGTCGAACACCTCCTAGCTCAATGTCTACGGTGGGAATATCTCTTCCATTAGACTGTAAGGTGAAGGCGAAATCATCATCTTTGGTGACTTGGCGTATATTTCCTTTCCTGGGTCTATTAGCATCGTCTTCCTTCGTTTTGCAAACTTTGGCAAAATGCCCGACTCTTTTACATTTCATACAAGTAGCCATCCAGTCTAGCCTTGCACTCCGGATCCTGTGCAAAATGTCCTTCGAGTCCACACCGATAACAACGTCCTCCTCCACGTTTAGGCGAATCAAAATGTCCCCGCTCTAAGAAATTTACATTTCCGCTCCATGAATCGCTTTAAATCGACTGTGCCTATCTTTCGGCAGCTTCCATGGATCTAGCAACATCTCTAGCCTTCTGAAGTGTGCGTTTACCACTGACAGCGAGTAGTTTCTTGCGAAGATCATGGGACCGACATTTATCAATTAACTGATCGCGTATTTGTTCTTCCTTGGATTTTCCGAAGTCGCAATTCTTGCTAAGCTGGAACAATCTGGTCACAAACTGGTCTGTTGTCTCGGACTCTTCCTGTTTTGCTTGACAGAACTGATGTCGTTCAAATGGGACGTTAACTTGTGGCAAAAAATGTGCGTCCAGTAGTCTCATAGCTTTCGCATACTCCGTTTCTTCTTCTGGGGCTGGTCCAGAGTCACTCAGCGTAACAAAAATGTCCTGAACATCCTGTCCAGCGCAATGCAAAAGTAAGGCTTGTTTTTGTGCGTCTTTTGTGATACCCTTTGCCTCGAGAAAAAACTCAAAAGGACGTTTCCATCGTCTCCAACGAGGTCCCACGCTTGTCAGGTGGCCTGTGCAATCGAAAGGTTGTATGTTTCCAAATTCGATGTTCACGGCCACATATGCTCTGCATATGTCTGAAAATTTCCTGTTTATCCTCATCGCCAATTGTAGAGTTTAATATGCGTATCTAAACAACGGATTAAACCGGATTACACCGCGGTCCTAAACTCTTCGACTCCATACTCTCTTCTTTTCGTTCCTATCATATAATAGTCTTTTATATATCCCGGCATACACTACAGGTAGATTAGATCTGATACATGGTTAATGACAAATTTGAATTTTTTTTTTGGTCCCTGGAATAATGTATGTAGATCAACATGTTCTTATTTAAAAATTTAACTCTACTATCTACAGATACGTCAAATCATTTCATCCATTTGCCAACAGAGGGGCAGCCAACATTTTCTCTAGACAATGGAGGTGAATTTGGTATAACGTTGTTACTTAAGCCTCCGTTGCCACCTCCAAATCCCCCAGGTAGCTACCCACCTAATCAGTGAAGAAGATGGTGGGTGAAAAAAGAGAATGTCACATCAATAAAGCTGAATGATGCTTTAAGTGAGATTAAAGCTCTATTCGAATCAGATCAATACAATACTTTGATGGCAGGCCCGTAAGCTGGTTTTTTCCTGGGTGGCTTTTTTTCACTTAAAACGGACCTTTAATGTTAAACTTAGCGTTGTTGCAGAGGATTTTCCATTTTTGAAGTCGACGTGGGTGTAGCCGAGCATAACAGTCTACTACAGTGTCCAAGTCCACAGGGGTAGTGTAGTGAATGTGCAAAAGCGCAAGATGGGACAAGCAATCTTTTCCCATCGATGCACGGATATAGTTATTCAGTCCTCGCGATGTGCTTGCGCTTCGTTCGCATTCGCACGATGTGACTGGAATTGTGCTGGCAATTTGGAGAAGAATGCTAATATTTGGAAAGAGGGCAGCATCACAATCTTTGATTGCCACAGCAGGTGAAGTTGGCCATAATTGCGGTTCCATTGCTAATTATCGACTTCTTCACCGCGTAAGTTCCATTTCGAGCAACTCAGGGGACGGGAGATCATCAGTGTAAGTGTTAACAGCTGCATTGAGGTTGACATTTCTTGAACAGAGAACACTTGGAACGAGGCCACGTAGTGATGTGGCAACTTTTGCCGAAGGCGAAAACTGCTCTTCGATACACATAATAATGTGATCAGGTAATAGAATTGCCACGTTTCTTTGGAAATACTCTCTAGGAGTTTGGGCTTCAGCATTTGGGCGATGCTGTTGTCTTGATGTCAATCGGGGCATTTCGGCAGCAGTACCCACCTTCTCAGCCATTGAAACGCTTTGATTGTAAATATGGGAAAAGTTCGTGCCACAATCTTCCTTTTCCTTTCGGTAAAAACTTCCAACTTCTGTAATCCTGTGATGGGCCTCCACAATGTCAACAGTTGCTCTCTGATGCTTAACAGTGATTCCAGCCAGGTGAGCCAAATACAGGTACATTGTCATAAATACCACAATGAATTCGAAGGATGTAAAGCTTGCCAAAATTTGTTGAGCTTCGTTGCAATTCGCTGGATCCAAGTCAACATACATATCACCATACTTGAGAAGGTGGCGTTTGAAGCCAATCATCCCGAGAGCCTCTACGATGAAAACAAAAGCTTGGTAGAAATGTTGATAAGCAGTGTGCCGTTCTGCCCATCGTGTCTTGCACAAGTCCAGCAGAGGCTTTCTCTTTGTTTCATTAACTATGTTACGCTTGACAATAGGCTCAAGAAGGCCATTTCTCTTAGGAATTTTAAGAAAAAAAACGACAGCAATTTTTTAGACGTTCAATGACATTGCGCACCTGAGGTAATGCACATGACTTACTAATTACAAGGTTGAGGCAGTGCCCATTGCAGTGGACATACGTGGCTAATGGTGCCTCCTTCTTTATCCGTGCTTGTACGCCTAATGTGCTAGATGACATGTTGCTTGCACCATCGTATCCTTGGCCACGCATGTTCGTTACTGGTACGTTGTTCTCGTTCAGGAAAGCCAGGATGTTCTCTGCAATCTTTTCACCTGTTATCTTTTCAAGTTTGATATATGTTAAAAATTCCTCTCTTACATCTTTCTTCTTATCGACGAACCGAGCACAGATAGCAAGATGTTCCTCGTTGTGCGACGTTACTTCATCAGCTAAGATAGAGTAATAGGTTGCAGCATTTAAATCATCCAGTATGCCCTTCAGAATAATGTGCCTGCCCATGACCTCAATCAATTCATTCTGTGTCTGGGGTGACAAGTTTGTCACACAACGCATTGCAGGACTTTTCAACACACTGTCATGCACTGCTAACAACTTGAGTAAGGCAAGAAAATTTCCAGGGTTTTCAGTTGTGTCAAGATTCTCAACATCACCTTTCAAAGCAATACACTGCCTACCACAAAACAGCACTGCACGGGCTATAGACTTAAGAACCTCGCGGTTTCGCTCGATATTTACTGCCTTGCTGGAATCAATTTGGGCTGAGATTGCTGCATGTGGGTGCTCAACAGCTTGTTTAAGATTGTAAGCTTGCTCCATGGCCTTCTGATGATGTTTAGAGTGTTCGTGTTCTTTAGCTTTCTCGCTTTTTCTGTTTCACTTTCGAAATGGTTTGGTGACATAGTTGCTTTTTGATTCATCGGAACAGAAAATAGCACAAGCTGTACCTGAGAAAACACCAGCAACACATTGACTGTACATTATCCAGGGGTGCTGTGACAACCACTCCAAACAAAACTGCCATTGCAGCCAGCGAGGTACTGAGTGGGGAATGCCTTCTCTTTAAGTTGCTCCTTGGGAATTGTCAAGAGGTGATACTTTTGAGACATGGTTAGGGTCCTCATTGCGTACGAAAATTCCTTTGGCGTTTTCGCTTTGCAAAAGATTTCACCAATATCTACCTTGCAGGTCTCTTGATGCTGACAGACATTATAATCTTTACATACAGATTCTTCACTTGTACTGGGGGGTGATGTGTCTGTAGCAAGGGTAGTCTGCAATGATGGCTGCGTCTCATCCTGAACTGAAATAACATTTAACTCTGAAGATACCTCACCTGTTCTCGACTTTTTTGACAGAAATCTTTCTAACATTTGGCATGAAGCCGCTGCCCGTTTTCTTTCTCTTTGTTTTTGCTCGCGACGCCCCACAGTAAAGCAAATCAGCGGCGATTTCCTAGGGCAAAGCATTCGATGCTAATAAGCACAACACGGCGACCACTCGGTTTCAGGCCATTACCGTTCAAAGATGGACGTTGGGTTTCAGGAGATGGACGTTGGGTTTCAGGCTTAGAAACAACCAAAACCCAACAGTGTTCTGAAATATTTTTCTTCACTAAACGGAGCGAATAATAAAGAACACCAAAGCATCGAGATTTAGAAGCCGCCACAGGTCCCAAAATATGGGAAAAATTAAGAATAACGAACTAATTGTATGGTGTTTTCGTTGGCTAGCTTGTGTAATCCTGATTCCTTCAAGTGCGAGAATTTGAGTACATCCTCATAATCGTATCGCGGTGATTCAAAGGCTTCTTATTATAAAATTATCGTCTATTCTTTCCTTTCCACAGTCTTCACATTTGCAGGAATAGTGTCACGTTTTCACAACTAAGGTTTCAGTATTATTTTTTGTACGTGCGAGACTTGTTTTAAGCCGGTCAAATTATTTGTGAGTAGGCCACTGAGCGGACCTCT